TTTCCCTTCCCTTGGAGCCTTTCCCTGCTCCCACCCACGTTTAAGCGGCACTGGGATATGCACTGGGTGGATCCGCAGTGGCCTCTTTTTCCTTCGTGACATGAATGGGAAGAACTTTCCCATGGGATCCTCCCCAGCCTGCAGCGACATCGCCACCATCAGATCCCTCCGCTCCACATCATAAAATTCCAGCTGCCCTTTCTCCAGGTCCAGGAACACCCCAACCACAAACAAACCCTCCCGCTGCTCCCCGAGCTTGTGGCGGCTGACACAATCGTAGGAGAAAAGCTCTCCGTCGAATCCGGCAAGAGCCCAGAAATCCCCGGAATGCTGGGAATGCGCGTTGGGGCGGCTCCATCTGCTCCTCAACACTCCCAGCGCCCAGGGCTGCTGCTGGCCCAGCTTCACCTCCCAGTAGCACTCCCTGGCTCCCAGCGCCTTCCCTGCCACCAGCACCTTCCACCGGGACTGATACGGTGCATTCTGCAGATACAGGAACCGCGCCTTTTGATGCAGCACCACAGAAACTGCAGGGGAAAGGGGAATGATCCTGTGAGTGGGGCGATCCCAGACACTCCCAGTGGCTTCCACAAGGGATTGGGACATTCCTGGGGACTGCAGGGGATGCAGCCACTGAGAAACTGAGGGGCCACAGAAGTCCTGAATCCTCAAATCCCTGAATACAGAATCCCCAAATCCTAAAATCCCTAAATCCACAAATTGCCAAATCCCAGAATTACAGAATCACTGAGTGGGTGACATCCTTGTGGTGGACAACGGGGAATATTAACCTTTGCTGGAACAAAGGATGCAGCCTCTGAGGAACTGAAGGGCCATGGAATCAGAGAGTCCATGAGTCCCAGAATCCCAGAATTCTGAAATCTCCAAATCCCATCATGGGTGAGGTCCTGGGGTGGTTCAACAAGGAATCTGAACATTCCTCAGAGCAGGGGATGTGACCACTCATGAACAGAGGAGCTGTGGCATTCCCAAATCTCCAAATTCTGCAATTCCTGCATTTCCCAACTCCCAAGTCCCCAAATCCCAGAGTGGGTGACATTGGAGTGGATCCCAGAGCAGTCTCCTCGGCCCTGTGGACATCCCAGAGATCTCCCGACCGGGTCCTTCCTCAGGGCATAATTCCCTCTTTCTCCTCCCATCTCTCCTGCCTGGAATTGTGTCCCAATCTCATCCCATCCCAGGCACACCCCTGGATTCCAATATGGCCAGAATGTCTCTGATACTGGGGAATTTTGGGATGACTGGGATTGCCATACCAGGGTGACTTGGTCAGGTGGCCATTACATTTTCATGGAATCATGGAATTATTTGTTTTGGAAGGACCTGAAATCCATGCAATTCCACCCCTTCCATGGGCAGGGACCTGTTCTGCTATTCCAGGTGGCTCCAAGTCCCATCCAACCTGAACTTGGGCACTTCCAGAGATGGGAATCCACAATTTCCCTGGGAATTCCATCTCAGCCCCTTCCTGCCCTCACTGGGAGGAGTTTCTTCCCCAAATCCCACCCAAATCTCCCGTTTTCCAGCAGAAAGCCATTCCCTGTGTCCCACCATCCCCAACTCACCCGCGTGGCTCCGGGCGTTCCAGAAATCTAAGGGAAGGAAACAGAAAGGGGATCTGTTGGGCAGCATTTTTAATGAATATCATTAATGAAAGGAATTGATTGGACTCAAACTCGTGGTAAAAAAAAAAAAAAGGATTTTTTATCCCACTTACCCAGCTCGGCTCTGAGTGACTCTGGAAAGGAAAGAAATTCCAGTTATTGGCACTTCCTGAGTGGAGTTTTTCCATGTCAGGTAACCCAAGCCACAGAAAATCAAGCAATACCATGGATGGATATTTTAATTTTATAGTTAAAATGAAACCTTTTTAAATATGTGGGCTTTAATCAAAATAAAGCCTTATTAAATGTGTGTCTTTTGATTAAAATTAGGCATTATTAAATTTTTTGGTTTTCATTAAAATCCACCAGTTTTAAATTTGTGGGGTTTAATTACAGTTCTCCATTTGTAACTGGTAGTTTAAATGTATTCAATTTTTTTGTATAAATTCAAAAATGGTTTTGATCAGTTTGACCTGAATTTTGTTCCAAGGGACACCAAACAAGGATTATTCCTCATCTGGGGGTGTTTTATCACACAAATCTCTTGGGAAATAAAACCTGATAAGGAGAAAATTACCCCCGAAGGAACAATTTGGCTCATCTCACCACCTGCTTTAGTTTATAGAGGTTAATTTATTGCAAATAATTTGTAAAATATAATCCATGACTTTTTAGAATATAAAAATATATAATCTATGTTATGCATATTCTATAATTATATTATATAAAATTATGTAATCTATAACTACATACATCAAATATCACAATTATATATCACATATAATATTGATATAAAATATTTTCTTACCAGATTGCTTTCTTTTTTCTGTCTTTTCTGTGAATAAACAACAACTTCCATGAGCAAAATGGAAACTCAGGGAGCTGAGGGATGGCTGAGATCCCAAGGAAGGAATTCCAGCCCTGCACAAACACTTTGTCCTTTAAAATTTTCCATGTGAGAAATGCACCAGCTTCAATTCTTAAAAGCCAATGCTGGGATAAAATATTGGAATTGCCTTTGAAGGGATTTTAAGGATCATCCGGCCCTTCCAGCCTGATTCCAGAGAAAAGGGACTCCAGCCTTCGGATCATGTCCGAGGCTTCCTCTGGAATTGCTCCAGCAGCTCCACATAATTCCTGAGGGACAGAATTCCCCCTCAGCTGCTGCTGGGGTTGGCCTTCGGACTCATGGGATTCCTGGGATGGGCCGTGTCCATCCTCTCATCCCAAATCCCTCTCCCAGGGCTGCTCCCAATCCCTTCATTCCCACCCTGGATCATTCCCAGGCACTTGGCCTCATTCAGCCTCCTGAGATTCCCAAGGGCCCCTGCTCCAGCTTTTCCAGGAACTGCCAAGAATTCAGGAGAGGGACTCATCCCAGAGTTTTTGTCCCCCTTGGATGAGTCGAGTCCTCTCCAGGTGAGGATCCTGAGGGATCAGGGGCAGCAGGACACGGCATTTTCCTCATTTCCCATGGCATTAATGCTCGGGATTTCCCAGGACATGGAGTCTCATCCCACACATTTTCTGACTTTGTGATGCACTTGGAATAATTTCCCAGGAGATTAATAAACCCAGGAGCAGCAAATCTCGGATTCAAGGGATCTATGTCAGCAAAAGTCCAGGCAGAGAATTCCAAGAGGAGCTGGAAATTATCTCAAATTTGTCAGCACCAGAACCAGTCAAAGCTCTGGGGTTTTGGCAGTAATTGAAATAAAATAGACATCAATAAACAGAAATCAAGGGAGAATACAGGAACTCCTTTCCAGCTCTTTCACCAGCTTGTTGGAGCTGCTTAATAATGAATATTGATGAACTTAACAATAATTGTGATGAGATTAACAGAATTGAAATAAATTGCAGAAATGGATTTACCTGCTTCATTTATCCCTCTCTGCGTCTCTGAGTTGATCAACAAATGCAGTGAAAAAGAAAAAAAAATGAATACTGGGTGGTCTTAATTTAGAAATCAAATTTATGAGTAAAATTAGTAAAATGTAATTCAGAAGTAACATCTTGGAGCAAAATGAATTAAATTTAATGTAGGAGTAAAATTTAGCAGTAAAATGAATTAAATGTAATTCCGGAGCAAAATAAATTTAACTTCATTGAAAAAATTGCTTTCAACTTAGGAATAAAAATTATGAGATGGGATTTTAATTATTTCATTGTGCTCAATTACAGAAGCTCCATCAAAGAGCTTAATTGGAAACTGGGAAATGAACCCAGTGGAAAATGAATCCAGTGTAAATAAATCAATAAGAATTTGTAATCAAACTTAGAATCTGGTCGCAAAAACCTTGGTTAAAGGGAGACTCATTCAGAAATACTTAAGAAAGATCTTTTTTGGGGGGGAAGAGCACTCAGGAAGAATGAAAGGAACAGGAAAATTGGTCTTACCCAGCTCTGCCTTCACACTCTCCTTGTCTGAAATAAATGAGAGATTAATTAATAACTTTAATTATGAAATTTTCTTGACTACTTTGGACTTGCCTTCTCTTCAATCAACTTATATCAGGTTTTGAAAATAATTAAATAAGGATTAATTAAGGAAGATTTAGTAAATGAAGATTAATGCCATAAAAAAGTAATGAAATAAAATTAATCCTCTGCCTGCCAAATTCTCTTCCCAGAAATCCCTTTCTCACCTGTTTCATCTCAGATTGTCCCTCAAGCCTCTCAGGAAGAGCCTCAGACTCATATTATTTAGAAACTTTGGTAAATTCAAGGGGAAATAAATTGAAAATTAATCATTTATAGAGAAAATTAATTAAACATTATAAAGTAAAGACAAAATCAATTCCAATTAGAATAATTGAGGTCTCAATGCCATTTCCATTATTTCACAGGAAACTGAGGCTGAAAGCTCAAAAAGTTGGAAGAAATTTGGCAGGAAGTGGGGCTGGGAATTATTGGCAGCTTGAAACACAATAAAATCTTAATAATTAAAATACTAATTTTTAATATTCAATAATTTTGTAATGGAATGATAATGGGCTATATATTTACAATTATAAAATATTTTTAATTACTTACCATATTATATTTATTATATATTTTATTCTATATAAATTCTATTAAGCAATTAATATCTGATACACACATTTTACATATGAATCAACTAATGAAAAATTATACCTTATATACCTTAATAATTATGTATTATTGTATTACGCAAAATCCTATATGAGTACATTATATATGTCTTAAATACTCTCATGTTAAAACAATACTGTTAATATTATGAATTTACTATTTTATTGCTCTGATAGTGTCAATAGCATTTAAAATTTCTTATATTAATACTTTATTATTTGATTTAATTACTAGATATTTATTATATTTAATATTGATATAATTAATGGTCCCACGAGCTCTGCTCCAATTCGGGCACAGCTAGAGGGGTCAATAAATCAAACCCATGACCTATGGTCCTCAAATCCCACTAGGATTCACATCCCAGAAATGAGGATCCCTTGGTTTCCAGGAGCCTTTACCTTTCTGTGCCGCTGTCTTCGACCTGGCTGGAATAACAGAAATCCGAAAGTTAATTATGGATCCCGGCATATCGGGGACAATTAATGACACAGAGCAAAGGGTTTGGAATTCTCCTTAGTCGTTGAATCCTGGAGTTCTATGGAAAAGCAACCTCATTTATTTAATTTTATAGATTTCTTTATTTCTGTATTTCTATTTCTATAGTTCTATACTTCTGTAATTCTGCAGAACTACAGTTCTATATTTCTATAGTTCTATTTCTACTTCTATATTTATGTATTTACATTTTATTGTTATCAGAAGCTTTTTTCAACATGAGAAGATTTTGGAAATCCTTGAAGGACAAAGAGCTCCTGGAAGATCAATCATTGACTGAAAAATTATAATGTGTAATAAATTATATCTATTAACTGAATGATTATCACACCTCTTGACTGCTTTCATGACAAGGATATTTATGTTTCTATAAGTGTCTATATTTTTTTCTATTATTATGAATTTTAAATTTATATATATTTATATATTTTGATATTGTATTTGATATTTTATTTAATATTAAGTTCTATCTAATATTGTATATTATAATTGTATAGTATTAACTAGGTTTCTATAAATAAACATATATATTATATTATATTTTTTAAATTATATATAAAAGAGACTATCATTACATAATAAATAATATGCACATGTATTATATCCATATATAAATGCGTATATGTATTATAAAACAGAATTTTATTATATTTGTATACTGTGTGAAAGAATTGTATTATAGATAATACAATAATTGTGTATTATATAATTTGAGTTTATTATTTATTACTGATATATAATCAATATTATACACATGTATTATATAAGCATATCTATTCCTATAAATATTTAACAATTTTTCTTTGCAGTTATTATATTTATTATATATTTATAATATATTTATTCTATCTCATATATTTATTACCTTATTTTAAATATCATCTTTATAATTAGAGTTTATCTTGATCTATTTCCCTCCTCACCTGCTTTCTTGATTTGCACAAAACTCCCTGGAAAAACAAAGAAACTCCATTATTTTTTCAGCAAAAATGAAATATAATTTTAAATATTCTCATTTTACCATGAGAAATTAATCAAAAATCAAAATTTCAGCTCTTAAATGAATATTCTGTAAATATCTTGTAGTCCCTGTGTCCCAAATCCATATTTTAATTATCCGTCTTTTCATTTTGTCTCTCTCCTTCTCCATCACATATTTCTGATAGTAAAATTTTGCTTATACTGTCATGAAATTATTTTATTCTTGTTATTGTTATTAGATGACAATAGTTATACTAATATAATTAACTTTTAAAAATATTGAAATAAATTGTAATTCAACATTTAAAAAATTAATTAAAACAATATTATTTAATGATAGGCAATGAAATTATCTGAAATCAATTTTTTTCATTCCCAATATTTATTTGAATTTTGGGCTGTGATAATTAAAATTTCCCCAGCCCTCTGGCAATACTCACATTTAATTTTATAAACCACAGTTGCAATCATTCCCAAACCCAGACTTAAAACTGCAAGGGAAGCAAACATCCAAGGGGAAGGGGAAGGGAAGAAGGAATCTGGAAAATCAAATGGAATTGTGAGATTAAACAGTTTTCTGTGGAATTTTAAATGGAAGAGAACCCCAAGGATCTCCCTCTTTTGGAATTTTCCACTGACCACCCTCCATGTGTCCATGTCATTGTAGGGTCTAATGTCCACTGGAATGTCCCAATTCTGGCCTCCCTCCCTGTGCCCAGGTCACTGCACGATCTTGGGAATGTCCATTGAAATGTCCCAATCCTTCCCTGGCCAAGCTAAAACGGATCTCGGATGCACTGAGACACAACAATGGATTTCTTCCCACATTGTTTATCTTCCCTCAGGTCATCGGCCTTGGATTGGGGAGCTGGGATAACTCCAGAGAAATGGACAGCATCCCCCACCTGATCCCAGCTGATCCCAGGGTCACTCACCTGCAATCCGCACTCGGGATTCCCATGTGGCATTGAGCACCTCATTGACCACCCTGCAGGACACTTCCCGGTCGGATCCCGGCTCCAGGCTCATGGAACTGACAACACCAAAGACACCGGGAGAGGAGCCTGGAGTGCTCAGAGTGGTCACTTCCTCTGTCCGGGTCTGTCCTTGACTGTCCAGCCAAACCATGGAGGGTGCTGGGAACCATCCCTGGGATCTGCAGGAGAGGCTGATGCCATTCCCAGAGTGTCCTTCCAGGGAAACAGAGGGCTCAGCACCTTGAGCTGCACAACGGGAAAACAATAAAGAGCAGACAAGGATATTGGGAAGAAATTCATTACTGGAAGGGCAGGGAGGGGCTGGAATGGAGTTGAAGGAGAAGCTGTGGCTGTTCCTGGATCCCTGAAAGTGTCCAAGATCTGGTTGAACCGGTTTTGTAACAACCTGGGATAGTGGAAGGTATCCCTGCCAATGGAAGGGCTTGGAATTGGATGAGCTTCAAGGTCCTTCCAACCCAACCCATCCTGGGATTCTCTGGTTCTTGGTGAGAAGTCTCCCCTGGATTTCTCCATATTAATGTGCAAATTAATCAAATTTCTAATTGTAATTCCCATTAAATTGCTGGGAAATGGCTCTTCCTCTGCATCCTGGCCCTGGCTGGGATGGAGTTCATTTCTCCCAGGACCTGCATCAGATTTGGGAACAGCAACAACAATGTACTGTTTTTCATTGTTTTTAATCCTCTTCCTGTTGTTTTTCTCCCAATTTTTCCTATTTTGATTTTGTTGCTTTCAATTATTAAACATCCCTGCTCCCAACCCAGGAATTTTCCTATATTAATCCTTGAAATGTCCTTTTGGCTTCCYCCAGGGAAYTGAACTTTGAAAACCAAATTGTGGTCAGGACAGACCTCAGATTTACCTGAGACCAAACAAACCCTCTGTAGGAAAACAAGGATGTGAGGAGCCAAAATGTGGAGCCCCCAGCATTTCACAGCTTGGTAAGACATCAATAACCCAAATATYCARRGAAAKCCCTGGAAATCCCTCTGATTTCMTAGGAAAAARCAGGAAKTCCTTCCCTGGCACCCACCTGCCACATCCAGTTCCACCAYRACCTCSTTGTACCAGTTCTCRAGGAAGATGAYGCAGGTGTATTTCCCTCTGTCTGAGAGCTGGATGTTTTTCAGGAGAAGGGATAAATTTCCCTGGTGGATTTCTGATGGGAAAAACTCAGTTCTGCCCTGATAAGCCTCAGACTCCAGAAATGGATTGCGAAGGTTTTTCCCATAGAAAGTGGCCACCTGTCTTTCTGTAGCGCCCCCAGCAAAGATCCACTGGATGGAAAGTTTCTCCGGGATTATTTTGCCTTSYAMCTGACAGGGCAGGAYGGCTCCATTCCCAACGATTCCGATGACTGRGTTGTCAGGAGGAATTATGTRCTGGCCTGAGRTGAGAGARAGATGGAAAAATTGCACATCCTGKKWTCAWCCAGTCCTGGACTGGTTTGGGTTGGAAAGGGGCTTTAATGGCACTGGGAGTTGGTGCTCATCAAAGTTCCCATCAGTGCTTCCTGTGGGAAACTGGGATGTGGGAATGCCGGAAAAATGAGCTGGGAAAACAAAGAGATTTAGCCTGGGAATAAATTCCCTTCCTAACTAAATCTGGGATTGGAACAGAAGCAAAATTTACCTGTGACCCAAGGGATGATCTGGAGAAAAACAAGGATGGGAAGAATCGCTGCCGGCCAGAATCTGGATCCCATCATTCTGCAGCTCGGGAAGACATCAGTAACCCAAATATCCAGGGGAAATCTCCCCAGGCTCCTGCCAAGCACAGACACAAAATGGGAATCAAAACAGAGGCATGCATTTGTCTCAATTTATGGGAAAATTCTCAGGGCTGTTCCAGCCCTTTCATGGGAAACAGGAAGAGGACAGGATCATCTTTTCCTAAGGAAATCCAAGCAATTGAGTTCTGGTTCCCAGACTAAATCCAAGCCCAAAGGGATGTGGATAACCTCAGGYAGGGGAGAAACTAAGGCAGAATTCCTGAAAAACCTCTTTCATTTCCCAGTCCTGCTCCAAAACATCCACTSTGCCCTGAAACTCTGCACGGGGATTCCTTGACTCCTCTTGGCTTCATGGAGATATCTGGTGCCAGGTGGAAGGAGAAGCTGGAGCCTCCAGAATGGATCCTCAGAATTCCCAGAAGGCAAAGAAAGAATTGACCCATTATTCCCAACCTGAATAAAATCCTTAAACTCCTCCAGCACCAGCAGGTGCTGGAGCCGTTTGAATCCGTGGATCCAGATTGGGACATTTCTGATTTCTGGAACATGCGTCAGCTTTCAAAGGGTTATTCCAGGCCCAGTCAGTCAGGATCATTGAGGGTGGAAAAGGCTTCCAAGGCCATTGATTTCAAGCTGTGCCCAATCCCTGCCTTGTCACCAGCCCAGAGCTCCGAGTGCCATGTCCGGTCCTTCCTTGGCCACCTCCAGGGGTGGGAACTCCACCATTCCCTGGGCAGCTCCTTCTAAGCCTTTCTAGGAAAAAATTCCTCCTGATGTCCAACCTGGACCTCCCCTGCACATCTCAAAGCCATTCCCTCTCATYCCAACCCTTGTTCCTGGGAGCTGATCCCAACCTGCCCCGGTTCCACCCTCCTGCCAGGGAGTTGTGGGGGACATAGAAGGTCTCCCTGGAGCCTCCTTTTTGCAAGGATGAGCTCTCACAGCTCCCTCAGGAATTCTCCAGACTCTTCCTCAACTCTGCTTCTGGCTCTGGACATGCCCCATCCCCTCCATGTCTGTCCTGTAACTGGAGACACCAGAATGGAGCCCAGAATTCCAGATGGGGCCTCCTCCAGTGCTGATCCCAGTGGGACAATCCCTGTCCTGCTTCTGCTGCTGCACCATTCCCAATCCCAGTGGGACAATCCCTGTCCTGCTTCTGCTGCAGTACTATTTCTAATCCTAGCCATGTGCCCATGTGGACAGACCTTGGCTCATCCAGCCACTGTCAAAAAAAACACTGTCCAAAAGAAAAGGGCTAAAAATTAATTTGAATAGAAGAAGACAAAGTATATTCCCTGGAAACAGCAATCAGTATTTCCATGGCTCAATCCATCAAKAAAGGTCTGAAATCCCAGTTACGGGTTAGTTTGAGGCATAAGCAGATAGTTTAATTCATTCAATTAAGGCAGCAAAGAAACTAAAATTAAAGGCTCTTTGAAAATTTCACTTAAAACCACCCACAAATAACAGGAATTCCCACTAAGGCAAAAAAAAAATTCCA